GTTTTCTTATTTCAAGAATCTTACCAAGTAAAATATTCTTACTCCACTGGCAGAAATGTTTGACTTAATGTGAGTCAAATTTTCAGGCTAACAAGACAAATAATCTTACACATTCTGAAAACAAGGTTATTATTCTTACACATTCAGTTCTTGTTTAGTAAATCAGTCTCAAAACAAGATCAAAAAGACTTTTTGACTGTATATAAGGTTTTAAAACTTGGTTAGATGGATAGTTTTTACAGTGTAAGTAAAGAATAAGGAAAACTGATTTGTTTGTATTCCTGCCAGTATCAAACTTTATAATACTATAATAAATACTATTATTTAGTGCTATAACTACAGGTTTTAATGTGAGCCATTCATTAATAAGAATACAAGTTTATGCTATCATTTGTGTCACTTTGGGTCCMAAACTTACAGTGAGCTTTAAACAAYGCCGTCTCAACAGCAAGCAWATTGTTTGTTGTGTGTTTTCTGTTGTTAGGCTGGTGAAGCCATTTTTAATCGAGCAAAGTTGCTGAATATTGGGTATCTGGAGGCACTGAAGGACTTCAGCTGGGACTGTTTCATCTTCCACGATGTAGACCTGGTTCCTGAAAATGATCACAATTTATACACCTGCGACAAGCAGCCCAAACACATGGTGGTTGGCCGAAATGTCACGGGATACAAGTAGGTTATATTTTAATTTACCCACAAATAAATGACAGCATTTTTCATGTTAAAACCATATAGATCTGTTATATCTTTTGAGTAAATAACTTATATTTCTTAATTAATGTTTTTTCTCCACAGGCTGCGTTACAAAGGCTACTTTGGTGGAGTCACTGCTCTGACCAGAGACCAGTTTCTTCTAGTCAACGGATTCTCAAACAACTACTGGGGTTGGGGTGGGGAAGATGATGACCTTCGCATCAGGTAAGACGCACTGTGTCAGATTATTCTACACAGTTATGATGCACAATATTTACTCATTCCTTTGAACGTGTGCCTGACAGGGTCGAGCTACAGAAAATGAAGATCCTGCGACCGCCTGCAGTCATTGCACGCTACACCATGGTGTTTCACAAACGGGACAGTGGCAATCAGATAAACATAAACAGGTCAGTATTTTGTTTTTGAGTCTAAAATATGGATATAGAAGGAGGTTTTTTAAAGCTCATCTGCTACTAAATAGGACTATAAATTAAAAATAAACTGACCTGCATATAGCAAGAATGTAATCTTATTGARTAATTCTCTGGAAATGTTCAGATATTTTGAAGTGGGGATGTAAACATGTTACCTGTGGTAGATGGCTCTTTCAATGGCTCCAGTTTGAAGAATAAAAGTTTAACTCTGACCTGTTCATGAGCAAATAACGTTTTTGAGCTGAACTAAGATCAATTAGTTGCTTATGGTCTTAAAACGACACCAGTGGGGAAACAAAAAATTCATAGGAGTTCATGCTAAGATTATTTATTGACCTTTATACCACCAGTTTTGCATAACACAGTGCCTGTCAGAAATATTCTCTCTAGGGGTGACACTGGAAGAGCTACAGCTAGACGCTGCTGTTGCTGCTTGCACCCGAAAATAAGTTCAAATCCCCGTAAAAGTGGGGAGAAAAAAAATGAGCAAGGCCTTATTTTTAACTGTTTTGTTGAACAAATGGGAAGTTGTTTCAACTAAAAAAATAAACAAGTAAAGCCTGATTAGCTAAATTAACAGCCTTATGTTTATGTGCTTAATAGCTAAATTATAATAATTACTTAAACGCTGAGGAAAACTGAAGTTCTCTTTTTAAAACCCATATAAATAGATATTTTTTAAATCATATTTTTACATGTTTTAGCTTGTTAGTGTTTTTCAAAGCACCCATTGGGCGGCCACCAGGGGGTGCTGGGGAGGCTCAGAAAGCTTCAGAATATGCAAAAGTAAAAAAAAAAAAAAGTTAAATCTAATAAATGTTTTGAATCATTATAATTAAATCAAATCTGTTTTTCAGTCATTTTAAATTAGAATTTAGAGTAATGTATTTTTATATTGGCAATGACAGACATTAAGCCCAGGTTTGGTAAACTGTGTAGGAGGAGCCACCAAGTTCGTTCCTCCCACTAGTGTAGCCTGTTTGTCATTTCCGCACAAACACACACATCCTTGTACTTGTATCAAACTGATGAGTTTTTTTTGTAACTGTATTTATGCCTAACCCAGACATTTTCCCTAATTCTAACAATTACTAGTCTATTCCTAACCCTAACCTGAACCAAAACCCGATTCACACCAAACCTCTAAATTAGTAGAGCGCAGTAGATTTGCAAAGAAGAAAAAAAAGTGAGGACTAGGAAAATGTCCTTACTTTGTTGTTTWAAAACAAATGGCCGTCCTCTCTCTGTAGCAGAAACAAGTACGCACAAATTTTGAAACATGTAGTTATTAAAAATCTAATGCTAAACAAATGTAATAATTACTGAATAGTGAATAAAACATTGTAAAGGTATATGTTTATTTACATATTTTGTAGCAATGTTTGGGGGTTTGCAAGGGTGGTCCCCAGCCAGAAGCTAATGTGGCTTGGGGGTTAAAAGCTTGTGAACCCCTGTATTAGAAGATATTTTAAACGTGTGTTTAACTTTCCTATCAATTTTTTCTCAGGATGGCGTTATTAGSAAAAACGTCACACGTGTGGAAGAAGGACGGACTCAGCAGCTGCTCTTATAAGACTCTGTCAGTCAACAGGTTGCCTCTGTACGTGAACATCACTGTGGATCTTGGTAAACCACAGAGCTGAGAGTTATGAATAATAAAAAACTCTCTTACTTTTATATTTGATGAAGTCTAGGCCACTGAGTTCAAAAGAACTACTACAAGAAGTCATATCAATGTAAATGAACACTGGTACAATGACTTTCCAGTTATTTAATACATTTTTTGCATATCAAGCTACATTTATGACCTGAAATTATTATTTACAGAAGAAAATAAGATGTATTTGTTTCTGCAAAGAATGTTTCAGTTGAATGTCCCTCCAAGAATTTTGCTAAAAGACACTGAACAATTCACACATCTTATTTTTTTCTTATATAATGTACACATACAAACAA